TTCCCTCTTGAATCGGGAATATCTAATATAGGTTCATCATCCTGTTCCAAATCAATTGGATGACTAGCATCAACATCCATGTCATCCAGATCAATTGGATGACTAGTATGAGCATCAAAATCCTGAATATTTTCTGGAATGGGTAATTCATTTAATCCGAAGAATTCATTCCAAAATTGGCTGTAGGGTGTGATGGTGATTCATCTCCGACACCGAATAAGTTTTCAACAAATGAGTGTGGATCCATTTGTGATTGAAAATTTGTAATGAAATAATTGATATTGAATAATTGAAATTGAATGTTGAAGTAAAATTGAGAAATGAATCTAGATTATGTAAAAGTGTAGAAAATAGATTGTAAAATCAAGATTATAACTTAATAATGTAAAATATAGAAGATAATCAAGAGATTAAAAATTTAAAGAGTAGAGAATAAGAAATTGATAGTTTGGTGGAAAAAAAATGGATTAATGGAAGGATATTTATAGGAAAAAATGAAATTGAAAAAAAATAAAAAAAAATTCAGTGACTGGAACGGTCACTTAGCATTATTTATTATTATTATTATTATTATTATTATTATTATTATTATTATTATTATTATTGGCTCGGTTAGGCTCGGCTCGTGGGCTCGGCTCGAGCGCTCGCCTAGAAAACGAGCCGAGCTGCTCGTGGTTCGTGGCTCATCTTTTCACGAGCTGAGCAGCAGACGAGCAGCTTTGCTCGATTGACACCACTAAGTGTAACAAACCAAAGTTGATGGAGTGTAACAAACCAAAGTTGAGTGACCGTTAGGACACTTTCTAAAGTTCAATGAGTAACCGTGACATAGTTCAACGTTCAGTTGCTCTCAAAACATGTAACTACGAAACTCAAATGAAATGGCCCAACACCAAATCAAACACACAATTAAACCCAATTATCTCCGAATTGAACTGACCAAATTCAGTCCAGATCTCTCTCAAAATTGAACGCATCTTCCTCCCCAAATCTATCCCACTTCTTTGTTCTTCCCATATCAATCTCAAACAATCCAGCCGGCGACACGGCAGGCTAACCATTTTTATTTGCTTGGAGTAAGGTCAATAGAGCAAGTAGGAATGACGGGTGGCTCAATTTTTATCTTCCAAATGTGTTTCTGCTTATTCTCTTTTAAGTATTTAGAGCTTATCCATTCCTCATTTTTGCTGATTTTACTTTTTTTTCTTCTACATAAGTTATGAACTCTTATCATAAAATGCTTGGCTTTTCAAGAAACCAGCTGGGTTATAGTATTCTTTTTGGGGTTTGGTTAGTGAAAAGCTGCTGATTTTAGCATGTCTATCTTTTAGATTTCTTTTGTAAATTTGTTTTTTTCTTCCTTCACAAAGTTGTCATCAAAACTGTAGAAGCTACAGATTTTGTCTGTTCTCTGATTGAATTACGACAAATCTTCTTGCTTTTATTGCAATGTTATAACATAATACGAATTTTAATTTAATATTTAGTCAAAGCAGAAATATAGGGCCAACATTTATCGATTAAATATAACATTTTGAGATATTTAGAAAATAACTTCATAGCTGAAGATACATAATATAGTAATAATTGCGTCTATATACAACACCATCCACCTAAGAATGAGGTTATTTTTAGGGGTGGGTGGGGTTAATAGCGTTTGTTGCATATGATTTGGCCCTTGCATTCGCATATTAGGCTGATAGTTCGTAAAGTTGTCTTTGATTTTCACATTTAAATAGGGACTGTTTATTTGCAATTCTCACTCTGTAATATGTATTCCCTTATGATTTGATTAAATTTTTAAATTTTCAATGTGTCAATATCTTTGTTTGGTTTGCTAGGTAAGATTTACGTATTGTTGAATGTTACTGTGTTCTGGATATCACTACTAAGTAGAAGTCATTATCCACCTGCATTGTTTCTCTATTTTAATATATTATTGTCTTGCTTCATTATTTCTTTATTTTTACCTTTATTAAGTCCTGCCTGCACTGAAATAATTTCCTAGCTCTGTCCTCCACGTACACAATTCATTCCCGTTATAATTATTAATGAAGTCATATAGTAATGGTTTGAATTGGATAGGTGAAGCATGAAGTGAAATTGGTTTTAATGGGACAGGCGAATCATGAAGTAAACTTGTTCGATGAAATGCCTCAGTAAATCAACAACAAATTACAACATTGTCATTTAGTTTCCTGGTGGAGAGTTCTACATGGCATGGCTAATCATCATCATATCATTAATTGTTCTCTGGGTCGCTTCTCTTTGCAAAATTTTTCGTGGATCCTTCCATGATGCTAAAGCTGCATTCTTAAATGATGGTAATGAATCATATTTGTGTATATCTGTGTAGATATGGATATAGATATTTTGTCTTTAAATAAGTTTTTTCATTTTTATTATGTGTATGTTTGCTGCCAGGAAGTGTTTTTGGAAGGAGAAACGTCTTACTGGTTATTGCGCATCCTGATGATGAGTCTATGTAGGTTTGAATTCCAAAATTTTATGTTTACTTTGGTTTGCATTAATGATAGAACTTTGCTGCCTGGGGTATGAATATCAAATAGCTTCTTTATTTTATTAAGTTATTTATTTGTTTGTTAGGATTTGTACTTTGCTGCAGTGGTGAATTCTCATTAAAACAATAGGAATGTTAGTGCCTTAATATATGAATTAATTTGTAAAAGACTTAATATTTTGAACCTTCAAGAAGAGGTAGTTCTCTAGGAAAAAATATCCATGTAATTGACCCCGATGAATGGGTTAGTTGCTGTCATTTGTGACAAAGCATGTCTTCTATGGTTACTAACTGACTATGTTAATTTAGTACTAAAAGAAAGAAAATGGCTCCTGGTCAATATCACGGTAGGCATTGTTGGCATCATTTGTGCAGTATGAAAAAACAGAATTTAAACAGTAAAGAGTCAAATGTGGACCGATTTAGAATAAGAAATATCTTGAAAAGAGATTGTACCGTTCAGAAAATCACTCATTCTATCATATGAGTCACTTTTTGCCCACTAAACATTATAGATATTGGATTTATTTGTAAAACCCTGTATTGGATTCTGCAGGTTCTTTACTCCAGCCATTAATTACCTAACTTCAAGGGGACATTATCTTTACATACTATGCTTGTCAACTGGTAATACTTTTGCAAGTTCATGAATTTTTCTTCCATTATCACAGGACTTCTCTTTTCATCATATCAGACACTTTTGTAATGGGTCTATAGAATTAACCTGAATTGAAAATTTCCAACTTTATTACATTGAAAAAACCTGAACATACGATCTTATTCATGTTTTTAGTTGATCACTATATAAAGGAAAATGAATCTGTTAACATTTGAAAATTTTGATGATGGGATCTGATTTGAAATTACTGGTACTTTTGTATCGTTTATCAAGTAATCTCCAAGGCCTTTAGATCTTTACGTTAAGTGTGTTTAGTGAAAAAGCCTATGGAATTTATGGAGGAGGTCGTTATTAGCTATATCTGTGCATGTGAATCTGATGGGATGATGGGTTGATTTCTGTGCTGTTTCAGGATGAAACACCAGTACATGATGATATTTGTCTCTCAGCTGCAAGAAGAAATTAGAGAAATAATGGAAGAAGATAGACTTTGGGAATTTTCTGTATTGTATTTAATATGACTGGAAAATAAACATAGAATGGAATAAATGAACTCAGTATTCAAGACTGACCCCCCTCATTCTCACTAATCATTTTTTGCCTTCTTCCCCCCCCCCCTTTACATTACATCTACCTTACTTCTAACTAACTTCCAACAAAATGACTAACGACCTCTAACCAAAAAGAGTGACCCTAGCTTTATTCTAGAAACTGCTATTGTGCCATGCTGTCATATAGTTAGCTCTCCCATGTGCTTGCTCGGCCTCATGCATCTTGTGTATGAGAAAAAGATCAACGTTGTCTAACAACACTTGATCTGCTAAACTATATTTTGTGGGTCATAACTTTTAAGTTGATTAGGATACTTTCCTGCTTTGGAAAATCCACGGAATTTAATTTTAATTTTACTTATTTCAACTGAGATCTTGTTTATTTCCTTGAGATTTTGAAAATTTTGTTTTTGTGAAGGCGATGCAGATGGGATGGGTAGTATTAGAAAAGAAGAACTCTCTCTGGCCTCCACAATACTCAAGGTGATGTTTTGTAAGCAATTGGTTTTCGTTTGTATAATCTACGCTTTTTGTGCTTATGGAGCTTGTGTTTCAAGGGTCTGCCCTATTGTTTTATTGAAGTTCTATTAATAGGATTGAGTTCTTACTAATTTATTTCAAAGATAGGCATTGACTATGGTCTCCCGTAAAAACTTTACCTGGTATTGGTTGTTTTATCTCATTTATTTTATGGATAAAGTTGGATGTACACCAAAGTGACATCTCCCCCTATGTGGAGGGGGGCAGTGCAGTGATGGAATTTTCAAATTCAAAATCAATGGTGTAGATTAAGCCACTTGGAAGAGTGTCAACCGTGATGTCAAAAATAATGTACGTGTAGCATGATTATTATTTTATTTTGTTTGTACAGATTCCTCACCAGCAAGTGAAGATTCTGGACCATTCAGATTTGCAGGTTCTTTTTGAAGCATCTCAAAAATTTGATTCCTTTTTTTTGCACTGTAGATTTAGATGGAGGTACTTATATCACGTAACTCTTGTGCTTAGGATGGTTTTGGTAAAGTATGGGATTGGAATCTAATAGCAGGATTTGTTGAGGACGAAATTCGTGCCCATGCTATTGACTCAGTAAGAACTGGTTTTAGTGATCCATATTGCTACTAGCTTTTTCATCCATTTGGTTTTTCTGGTCACAATTTTAGGTCTTTAATGTCCTGCTTTCATAACAGATTTCTTGTGTTTCTATCTTGAAATGCTTAATCTGGCAATACATAATCCCTGTTTAATTTTTCCAGATCATTACATTTGATGACTATGGTGTCTCTGGTCACTGTAACCACCGTGACGTGCATCGAGGTGTACAGTAAGTTCTCATCTGTCCTTGTCTTTTGTAATGTTTGTGTTTAGCAAGGGATTGAAGTGTCGTTTTGTTGATTTGCTACTTTAGTACTACATAAGTTCTGAAAGTCTATTTTTCTTTTCTTTTGGCAGTGATAAAAATGTATTTGTTTTCTCCTCTCTGTTTTATGTGGACTTACGATCAGTATGGTTCTATTGTATTTTATGTAGTTCTATTATGTAGTGGTTCCTAAAACCTGATGCACTATGAAATTATCTGTAATGGTTGATGGTAACATCAAACTAAGAAACATAATTAATTAGGTTCTTCCTTGTGTATAATGCAGAAAGCTGTTGCATGACTTTTCAGAAAGACCTCTCAAAGCCTGGGAGCTTGTAAGCTATTATTTGTCTCCTCTGTCTACATTCTGTTTTTAGCTGTTTGCCAATTCGATGACTGTCAATATAGAGTACAGAATCTGAAAGTTCTCCATTTGGGATTGAGAGGGAGAAAACTAAAGATGTGTGACTTCCCCGTTTTAATTTTTTTTATATTTTTAAGCTCCTAAACCATTATTTTCATCATTTTCAGGTGAGTACGAGCATATTCCGCAAGTACAGTGGACCGGTTGATATCTGGTTATCCAAGTTATTTGCCTGGTTTTGTGAAAGTAGACAATTACAATGCTTGCTCAATGAAGATCCCAGTAAGACTTATGCTGCAATGGCACAACACAGAAGCCAATGGATTTGGTTTGTATACTCAAAACTCAAAACTTTTATTTAGATTATTAACATAAGCGAGACTCATGGAGAAGGTTTCATGGCCGCCTTATTTTAATTTTTGGGTAGTAGGGTGTTCTTGGTTGGGCAGGAAGATAGGCTTAGATGAGGTTAGGAAGAGTTAGAAAGAGAAGTAGACTGATAACAATTGTTACTTTTTTGAAATACATAGTGATTTCTTCTCACTCATCGGTTCTTATTGCAGGTTCCGAAAGCTTTTTGTGTTGTTTTCGAGTTATACTTATGTCAACACTCTTAAGAGGATTCAGTGAATAGGTGATTATAAGGTTGCAGACCTGTCTAAACGTTGAAGCATCTACGAGTTGCTACCCACATTGCATGATGGTTTTCTTTCAAGATAAATAAATGATATAAATCTGGAGATATTCCTAAACTTTGTTCAGTAGTATTGACGTACATTTGACAGCTTTGACATGTATTTCTACACCCTTATAGTTTAAAATAGGATATATCAGATTAGAGAATGATTTGACCTCTAAAGACAAAGCTGCTGTTATATCTCGACTTCATTTCTTTAGAGTGAATTTGTTCTTTCATATGCTATACTTGATGTAACATTTGATCTTTTAGTATACTTATCCATTTTATTTCACCTGTATTTGAATAGCATATATTCAATACCATCGATGAAATTTTTGGGTTAGATTGTTTTATTAACGTATTAGTTTGGTGTGGTTAATCAAGACATTCATAAAAACACGCAACTCTCTATAAATGTAGGTTACGAACACCAAGTTACATTTCACCTTTATGAGCATATGCGCTCAACTTCAGGCAGATCTCCCTGAATAGTGTTCTGTAAGAATTTATCAAGTAAACGTTAACTATACAGAACTCAGTGACATCAGTGTTTGTCTGTATATATGGCAATTACATTTGACCAATGCCCAATGTTGAAAAAAGGGATTCACTCTACGCTAAACTTCTGATTGAGATACAGATTAAAATTGCTGTAGGAATTCTTTGGCGATAGGGTTGTTTACATTTGAAGGTTGTTAAACCGAGTAGTTCATAGGATTTGGGCGAATCTTTATACTTGGAAGAGTCAATTTATATAGTGTCTTTTTGAAGCATGAGATTTGTCTTACAGAATGTCAAAATCTGAAGCCAACATGCACACGTTTAAAGTAAGTGATGCAGAAAACCTTATCCTGTAAGTTCATTAGTTTATTATGATCTCTTCTTCTGAAACTGGTAATGGATTCAAATCCATTGCTTTCGTTTCCTGATGGTCTTAGTTCCATCTCTTGCATGTGTCTACTGTACTTGCAAACCTCACTGATCCATCCTTGTTTGACCTGATGTATTGCTGCACCACCATCATCGAAAAATGCAAATTCAAATTCTGATGTGACTAGAAGATACCCAATTGGCCCAGCTCCGGACAATCACACCAGTCGGCTAGCCCTGCTGTCAAGGGTGACATAATGCCTGCTCATTTCCCAACTATGTAAAGATCATGATTGAGTTCATCCATTAATTTTATGGCATTAACAGCTTCTTCTTCATCATTTAACATCAATTCAATCTATGTTATTGATCTCTCATTGGCGGTTGCAGTCTATAACTTTTTGAGGTAATCCTCGTCTAGCGAGCTCTCTCTCATTGTCAATTTGCAGAGTCATGTTGGCTTTTGCAACGAGTTTTACAGGATCCAGTTCCTCTGCATCACTATTCGAGGTAAACCTTGCCTCTGTAAGGCTGATATCTGAATTTTCTGCCATCCTCCAAGCACAAGTTAATGCCTCCATCAACATGTCATCAGGACCCAAAAATACAACATGGCAATATTGTGCGTATGATCATTTGATTGCTGAAGTCCTCCTGTGAATCAATGTACCCACAGAACAAGGTGTATTTTCTAGTATGCCTTCATTAGCACTCCGGATGGCAGGATTAATATCCTCCGTTTGACCATCAATGGTTTGTTGCTTGTGAAAGGGGATAATTATGAATGTTGAACGCTTGTCCTTTGCAACATTACAAATATCTTCATCCATGGTGGAGTAAGTACAAAGGGTAGTGAGTGCCTAAGTGGTAACGCCATCTGATGATAGTTCATAGTTAGGGGTGTCAACGAGTCGAGAGGCAGTGTGTAGGCCTTGTTTTTTTTTTTAAATAAAAGTTGTTGTCTGTAAAGGGTTTCTTTTTTTTTTTTTTTAAAAGGTTTGGCTCATCGCCGGCCAGAAATAGCCCGCGTGGCTCAACAAGCCACAGGGCTGGCTCAGGCTCATGCCAACACCCTAAAATGGGGCTCAGCCCGATCCTCGAGCAGTGCTGGCTCGAGCTTTTTCCGGGCCATCCGAGCCGACGAGCAAAATTGACACCGCTATTCATAGTTGGCAAAAACACTTATTATATGATCTGTTTGTGCCTCTAATGGGATTTCTAAGGCCTGTTTTGCTAGTGTCACGGACAACCTGACTAGTTGTGGCAGGTCCAACGAGCTCGACTAGTTGAAGATCAAAGACACTGATGGGGGATCTGTTTGTGGCATTTGAAGCCCCGAGAAGGTTAATAATGGAATGGACCCGAAGCTCTTCATCTGATTTTGCCTTCTCTATCGTCCTGTGCTTGTATGGTACCAAATTCTTAGATGAACGATGTGTGATTATGGCGGCATAACAACCATAGTCATTATGAAGATTGCAACCACCATCAATGAGTATGTCTGAGTGTTGAGAACCTGTTCATGATTACAGATTGCCAATTAGCAATGAAACCTGTTAACTTTCATATCTATCCATGCCTTGTGGTAAATTCGTCTATATAGAGTGAGAAAGAGAGTACCACTTGTGTTTGCCCAGCTTCAAGGATGATCATTGCCATGGCGCCCTTGGTGTTAGTCAATACTCCGAATGCAATAGCCTCCTTGGCTGGAATATTGCTGAAGAGGGAAATAGCTACAGCGCAAAGAATCTTGGCAGTGCAAGCTAAAATTATAACAAAAGCCCCACTTTCCAAGTAAGTTTGGTCAGAGATTATATAAACATTAGTTCTCAGCCCACTAACCATGAAGAACACTGGCATAAAAATTCCCATGACAAAGTCTTCAAGCCTGTCAATCAGTACAACTTCAAGAACTCCACTACATATCACAAGTCCAAAGACGATGGCACAGATCATGGGGTGTGTTCCACATACATCAGTAATGACTCTACAGAAGGCAACTCCTGTGAGTACTGAACATGTATAGAACTCACTGTATCCTTGTCCTTCTGGTGTTTTCCGAATGACCCACTTAAGGCCACGTCTGATATAATAGACAGAGAGTAGTGTAAAAGAAATGGTACATAGCAATGACCAGTGAATGTTTTCGGGAGAGCCCGTGATGGCAAACCCCAGTGCCAGTAAACACCATGCACATACATCATTGATTAGGGCTTAGGCCATGGCTATCTTACCAATGTCAGTATTGATTATTTCTTGCTTTTCAAGTATTTCTGTTAGTACCGAGAAGCCGGTGACAGTAAGGGCAGATGGCAGACCCCCGGAAGATGATTATTGTCATCGAAGACAATATATTAGGCTGAACCTAGAGAGAAAAAGGGACTATTTTCCGGCTACAGCAATGTTAATGACCTTGGATCCAATTCGTAGAATTGCTTTTATGTCCATTCTTAATCCACAAGGAATCCATAGTAGACAAGGGCCAAATGTGCCATTGGCTCCAACACTTATAGAGTAACTTGGGACTATCAGCTTTCTGAATCCACTCTTTCTTCCAAATACATAAGGTCCCAAAATTATACCACTCTACACCAACATTATTAATTTTTCTTCAGTTAGAAATGATATCTATTGTGATTTTTACTTTATTTATTGTGATTTTCCTGCGATATAACATGCATGCATTGGATCAATAGTCAAAATTCTTAGGAGTTACAATTGTGTAGCACTTTCAAAATACAGCTTTTTACAAAATCAGGTTCACGAAAGACATCATGTATATATCACTTGTGCACACGCACATATGGGTATCCAACCAAAACATACGAGAATTTCTGCCACAATAGAAGGTTGGTTGAAGGGTTTTAAGGTGAAGATGAGAAGGCGAGTCAACATGATGGCAAGGGTTATCTGAATGAAGAAGAGAAGTATAAAGGATGTCATTGGATCAGGTCCTTCCCATACGCCATTAATCCAGTAAATTGTCTCCGCATAACGTAGTATGATATTTATATGTTAAAGTTAGGATATATTCTTTCCAATCATGCCACGGTGCCATAATGATTGACATAATACTAAGTAGCATTCTATCATTGAACTGTTTAAAACAAAGTCAACTTTTCTATCAAATTATCTACTTCCACATAGGATTATATCACTTGTGAGGTGGATCACTTAAATCGACTTGGCACATGTTTATCGGTCTTGATCATTTTGAAAGGATTGTGCTAGTTGATGTGTATTATGGACCATAGATTAAATCAATGGTTGAATTTAATCTTGTGGTCAATTACCCTACTAGTCATGTCCTTTTCATAGTACAATATTTGACTTTGAATTCAAATGTTTCTTTGGCTTTATAATTACAAGACTTTCACTTGTTTCACTTGGACTTGGCAATAACAAAAGAGAGAGAGCATAGAGAAGTAATCAAGTGGGAGATGCTCATATTTCCGCAAAATTCTTGGTGGCTTCCGGTGGATTCTTTTCTCGGTATATCCATTGTCATTCCTATGAACTATAGTGCATGATCCGGTGTGGTACAAATCTAAAATCAATATCATAGGACACTCCATTAGTTGTGTTAAAGAAGCTTTGGTCGACTGGTTTGGTTTTATACTTTGAGAGTTTATGTTTCCGCATTGTAGTTGAAATAATCATTTGTACACAACATTTTAAACTCTACATCACTGCATCTGATAAAATTCATTTGGCAAAATCCTATTCTTTATCAACTGTTTGTTTCAAGCGGTGCTGATGGCAACATATTCGGAAAATTGTCTAGTTTTCGTGTTTGCCGTCTTTATTTGAGCAGGACAAACATAAGTTGCACAAGTACAAAAGCATAGGCGAAAATTAATACTTTATCAGAATTTTGAAAACTTCCTATAAGATCTAGCATTGTTTCCATCACCAAAGGAAATAATATATTCATTAGGGAAACGGATAGTGAAGTTTCCAAACCTTTAAAATGTAGTAGATACGTCCTAAACTTTTCAAAAATGTGTTTTATGATTCTCGTCCAAAAATCCATTAGTTGATCAAAAGTCAAGCGTCTGATCATAATTTGACTAATTTTAAAAATGACAAAATTGTCTTTTAACATTAATTAATTAAAACAAGAAATATTTGAAGTGGAGGTCCCAAACTTTTTAAAAAAGTATAACGCAGTTCAAATTGTTAATAAATGCTAGCCGACTTGACCTCTAATTTAACCAATTTTAAGCCCTTGTTTGAGCCCTATTTTTTAAAAATCTTTTTGCTTCAAATTCACTTTTAACCACACGTTTTTTTTTCTCCAAAAAATCACTATTACAAAATGTATTTTTCCTGAAAAATGGGGCTCAAACAAGGGCTTAATAAGGATAAAATAATCTTTTAGATTTAAATTTATTAAACCAATTAAAAAATAGAAACAAAACAAAACAAAAAATAAATAAGAAGATATATAAAAAAAATAAAAACCAATCATCTTTCCATCTAACCCCTAATCCGACCAACCCATCCTAACCCATGGAACAAACCTGTCCACGGAAGTAGAGGAAATGAATGGGCGACGATGGCACAAGAGGTTTTGTTCCATGTGTGGAGATTGGGTGGATTGTGGAAGATGGACATTTTTTAATGTTTTTGTTTTCTCTTTTTATTTATATTTTTTTTCTATATTTTTAATTGTTTTAATTAATCAAATGTTAAAATACTATTTTTTTTGCCCTTTTTAAAATTATTCAAGTTAAAGTAAGATGTATGACTTTCAGTGAAGTGACAATTTTTTTGATAAAAACCCTTAGTAGTCCTTACGGCGCACGTTTATTAAAGGTGTGAAAAATACGTCTTATTCATTAACATCTCATAAATATTTTGCCGTAGTTAAGAAAGTCAAACCAATTTTCATACGAGCTCCAAACGGTTCATTCATCTATCGTTCACTTTTGATTCTGCAATATTTTATTCATTAATCAATTCAGATTATTTAATTTTCATTACTATGCTGCACATTTTTTAAATGTTTGGATATTTTTCACAGAATTTCTATTTTAATTAATTAAGTATTAAAAGACCATTTTGCCCAGTTGAAGTTGGTCAAATCATGGTCAAACACTGGACTTAATAGATTTTTGGACGGAAACCATCCAAAGGTCCTTCTACTCCACATTGTTTAAAGTTTAAGACATACCTGCTACGATTTAAAAGCTAGGGATTGTGCTGCACTTTTTTGAAAGTTTAGGACCTCCATTGCAAATTTTCATTTTTATTATGTTCTTCGGCTTTTGCATTAGGATTAGCCCTGTTACTATACCAATGAACAACAATTATGGCTCCAAAAAGAAACTTCTGTAGCGTTACTTGCGTAGCTCTCAGAGCATGGAAAACTCTGTATCAAGTTCATGGGTATACGAGGTTTTGGGCCTATTTGAGTTTTCATGTCCTGAGAATTTGCTTCTTGATTATTTTAGTTCTGGTATAAACTTCTCTCTGGCTTGCTTTTCAGTTGGTATTGATTGTAAATAAAATATATGTCAAAAGATAGTCATTGTCCTTCTTATCTCACCTTTCCTTAAAAATCTTTACTCTTTCCAGTTTCAATATTGAAGAATGTTATAATTTTTAATCGCTACATGAGATACAGTTTTAAGATATTCGTTCCGACCAACAACAAGTTAATTCAGATGAAACTCCCCTTTTAAAGATGAGTAATACTATTTGAGTAATGCTATTCATAATCGCTCACTGCAACAGTCGCTCTATGTGGCACACACGTGACATGTAATTATTTGATACATTAATATGGTAGTTTTTTTTTTTACCACATTAACGTATTAAATACACA